CTGTATCTATTATCTCTCCTTTGGATGACTGTCCAGCGGACATGAGGAGAGTATGGCAATGTGAGTCCATAGACTGGGATGAGATGCGGCACTTTTTTGCATCCTATCCATGGCGGCAAGTGTGCTTCTCTTCGGATGAACCCTCCTGATCTTCTGATGCAGTTGCGGATGCGATACGGCTCGGAATGGAATATTTTATTCCCTTCTCCAATGTCACGTTCGGTCAAATGGCTCGGCCCTGGTATAATTCGGACTATGCTCGTGAAAATCGTTATTTTAAGATATCACAATAAAAAGATATGACGTCACACCTTTAACTGTTATAACACTTAATTTTTCGGTCATGCAAGCCCTGCTCATACTTCAGCGGCTTAGATGTTAGTAACAATTCCAATTGTGTTCTGGCTACTCTGCGTCCTCTCGTCGACAGCGCGACATCGAATCGCCGACCACGTACCTTCACTGTGAGGAAGCCAGCCTTTGGCAATCACCTGACAGCGAGTGGACGCTGACCGGCAAGATGCTTAGGCAAGTAACAGGTTGAATAATTTGGATTTGATTTGATTTAACCCTGACTTGATGACCTGCCTTTGAAATTATCTTAACGGATTTTCACGAGAAAAAGGTGGTAAGATAGATTTTAGTCAACAAGTGATTGGTTCAGTTTGACTGGGATTGAAGAAATAGCAGGACGTCGCTGCTGTGTTACTTATGTATTTGAGTGAGGAGAATCAGCGATGCATTTACTAGGTATGTGCTTATGGCAGTGTGCACGATCGATACGTATACTGTCATTGGCAATAAAGGTAGCATGACAGCAACTTGAATATGTTTGCTAAGGGCTGCTGCCGAATAGGTCGCGCATGGAATGTTTACTTGGTCGGGCGATCAACCTTTATTTTTTGTAAAACTGAAGTGGTAAACAAATTTAAACTGAAGATGTTAAGTGCAAAGAGATTATAACCACTACGTTTAAGAGGCGGGACTTCCATAGTAAAAATAAATGCATGAATGTACGCCAAGCTACTCTACCAACATCAAGATATGACATTTAGTTTTGACAGACAGTGTTGACAACATTGATGAATTACAATAGTGCTGTAAATGTCTATCCTCGAATAATTTTATCGATATAACCTTTATCGATATAAGCAATATATCGATAAAGGTTATATCTTAAAAAAAATCTTAAAGGTCGATATTTTTCCATCATAAAAGTTGAATCTCTATACTGAATTATTTATGAGAAATAAATTGTTTAATGTGGGGATTGAGTAAAAATACCGATGAGGATAAGAAGTCAATGTATTTACACAATTTGTAATTATATCTCTACAATTAGGTACAAAAATATGTATAAAGAAAATATAAAATAAAGAACACATTATTACACTAGTAATTAATTAAGTAAAAAATAAATGACAACTGCAATAGCGCAGTGGCTAAGCGTTTGGCTGCGGTATTGCACGAGGCTTCGTTCCCGCACTGAACAAGTGTTGCTATGCTGTAAAATAAATAGTCTGCGTCTGGATGCTTGTTTTCAACGTTTGTTTTTTTTTTAAGATAAATATATTAGGTTTTTAACACTGATTGAATTAAATTGCCTTTATGTGTAACAAACACTATGTACAAATCGCTAGGCTTCTTCACATAGGTACCTATGTACATACTATTCGCAGAGATCGTTTACTAATTGTCACTTTCAAAATGAGTGCTCATTATAGGTAATTACAAATAACTTTGAGTTTATTTATATAATCAAATTCTTACCAAAATGTGACTTTAGAGAGATATTATCTTTTGCTATATATATATAGCAAAAGATAATATCTCTCTAAAGTTGCCAGCTATTTCACCCATTGCTTGCATCTGAAAAAATAATATAAATAAAAACACATTTTTATTGAACAAATAGAATGTTAGCAGTCACAATTGACTGTGTAGTTTCTAAGTATAGTTCGTTTCGGATTGCCATACCATCGAACGAAATAGTGTGTTTGTGCACACAATCGTACACTATAAAAACCTGTCCTACGTAGATGGCTAGTCCAAAAATGTACTCGCGTTAAATATCATATTACTATTAAAGTTGAAATCACCACATACCTTTCATCATCTAAGGGAAATATAGCTACAAATAGCCTTTTCTTGTTATCATTTTTTCGGCTTCTTGCACCATTTAATTGGAAAGTTTTATAATGCATATTTAATTTTTTAATAATTCTGTAAATGAACAACGGCTCCTATAGCAAAATTAAAAGCAATCTTAATAAATAAAATATATACAAATATAATTGTTTGATTTGACAATGTCGTTAATAGACATATTACGAAAAGCAGAAAGAAGAGATAACCGTCATTAAAATTTGACCCCTGTAGTACATATAATTTTTACTATGGAAGTTGCACCGGCCTGGTTAAGTGGCTACTGCAGTCCATAGACACCTGCAGCCTACTTCAAACAAAAGTCTACGGGTAGGTTAAGATGGTGGAATAAGATGGAATGTTAGATGGAATGGAATAAAATATCAGGCTGTAAGCCTGTTATTTTATTGGCTCTCTAAATCTCTTTAAGACTGGAACACAGCAGTGCAAGCACTGCTATTTGTTGGTAGAAATAGGTAAGAGATTGGTAGGTATGCTTTGCCCTAGACGGAAAAAGTGTCCTATTACGTAGTAAACTTCAGTGCGCATTGAACTATTATTACTGATCTGTTGGATGAAAACAAATTAGATTTTATATAAGTAGTATACTGCCGACCAGATCTGACAAACGCGTTAAAGGTACGAGACTTGCGATTGTCAAGTCTGCAAACCGCAAAGCTCCGGATATTAGCGCCAAGACGAGAACTTTCAACCAGGCCGCCAAGTCCTACAAAAAAGCATTACGGAAAGCTAGTCTCGATCGCATTAAACATATTGGCGCAAAACTCTCTGCCAGACCATCTGGTACTAGAGCTTTTTTGTCTCTCGCCAAAGCGGTCGAGACAAACTTCTGTCGGCCTACACTGCCTCCGTTGGTAAAATCGGATGGCACAGTGGCGCACACTGCTAAGAAGAAAACGGACTTGTTCGCGTCTCTGCCTACAATTCACGTCTGGACAGTGGCAACAACATTCCACCAAAATTACCTCACTGCGGGACCTCTATGTCGAAGATTCGTGTAACAAATAAGGAGGTTCTTCAAACCTTGTGGTGTCTAGACGTGAATAAAGCTAGTGGACCAGATGGTATACCAGCTATAGTTCTAAAGGCTTGTGCACCTGAGTTGTCCCCTGTGTTGACACGCTTGTTCCGCCTCTCATTTAGGACTGGAATAATATCAAAATCCTGGAAGCTGGCCAACGTGAAGCCTGTTCCAAAAAAAGGCAGCCGTGCCGACCCTGCCAATTATCGGCCAATCTCAATTACCTCCATATTCAGCAAGATAATGGAGCATATATTGAATGCCCGCTTATTGGCATACCTAGAACAGAATTACCTCCTTAGTGACAGGCAATATGGGTTTCGCCGAAATCGATCAGCTCGGGACCTTCTAGCGTATGCCACACACGTATGGGGCGAGGCACTCGAGAACAGTGGGGAAGCACTTGCTGTTTCCCTTGATGTCTCGAAGGCCTTTGACAGAGTTTGGCACACTAGCCTTTTGGGTAAGCTTTTAGCGTACGGCTTATCATCTGGTCTGATTGATGGGTAAAGGACTTTCTGGTGAACGGTCTCTCCGGGTCGTCGGCGATGGATGCTCATCCGATCCTATGGCGACTAACGCCGGTGTTTCTCAGGGGTCCGTTCTCTCCGCAACTCTCTTCCTGCTGCATATTAATGACCTGCTTATGCCTGGTATCTATGGGTATGCAGACGATATCACAGTTGTTGAGAGATACCAACCAAGTCCTCGAGCCAGTCGGGATCAAATCCAGTCCGAAAGAGAAACTATGGTAGAACGTGTGAATCTCACACTACAGGCAGTCTCCGAATGGGGCGATGCCAATTTTGTGAAGTTCAAAACTTCCAAAGCACAAACGTGTCTCTTCACTGCAAAAAGGAGCCAGCTCACCTTGGCTCCTTCTTTCCGAAATGTATCACTGAAATATACCGACCACCTTCAGTTGTTACGCTTTAAAATATCCTCAAATTTGAACTTCGGGCGGTTCATTGCGTGCAAGACCAAAGCAGCTGCAAGGAAGCTGGGAGTCCTTGCAAAGGTACGGCGATACTTTACACCGGGACAGCTGCTTACTTTATATAAAGCGAAAGTCCGGTCGTGCATAGAGTATTGTTGCCGTATATGGTCTGGTGCTGCAAAATGCCACCTAGCAGCTTTGGACTCAATGGAAAGGCGTGCTAAGAGGCTTATTGGTGACCTGAATTTGGTTAAAATCAATCTTATCAGCCTCGAACACAGACGTAAAGTAGCCAGCCTTTCGGTTTTCTACAAGATGCATTTCGGAGAGTGTGCGCAAGAATTGCATAATTAAATTCCCCCCTCTCCCTTCCACTTTTGGACAACCAGACGTTCGGCCAGTCTTCTGTCTTCAAGAGTGAATAGGCTTTGTTAAGTCAGTGCGCTTCACCATCTTGGGCTACATCACCACTTACCATCAGGTGGGAACGTAGATAATATATGTTATTCTGTTGACACGGTTGTTAGTCTCTAATTTAGGAATGATATAATACTCGGATCGTGGAAGTTGTCCAATGTGTAGCCATGGCCAAAAAGCCATCAGAGTTAAATCTGCAATTTATCGGCTAATCTCAAGTCTACAAAACTATGGAGTATATGATTAACACCCACTTTGTGCCATTACTAGAACAAAATGACATCTTCAGCGATAGTCAGCATAGATTGCAACGAAATTGATCGGCCTAGTGTATGCACCACACATATAAGGCGAAACTCTCGAGAAAAATCGGAAGCGAAAAAGCGACATTTAGGCGAACAATGTATGACAGTAGAAACTCGGCTCGCGTCAGTGCCTTAAATAAATAAAAAATTCAAAATAGGAAACAAGTTTTATTCTAAACAACTAAAGCATACACCGTAATATCACTTGACTGAATCTTCAACTAGACTAAAATATAATTGAGCAAATACGTAATCAACAGTACATTGGCCTAAGCTTACGTATCTGGTGAGAATAAATAAATTAACAAGAGGTTTATATGACACTTAAATTTAGTTATTGACTAAACACATTTGGACTATGTTCCCTGTCGGTTCGGACTTAGAAATTCTTCAGTTTTCAGTGGGTGAACAAACGTTACGTGTTTCCTTCTTCTTAAGTTACTCCTTCCAAGAATAGCCTCATCTAGTTTTGCTATAGCCGCCGTTGGAGTTGGGTAATCACCAACAAGTTTAGCGCTTGAAGTTGGTCTCACTATTTGAACTTTCTCATTATTGATCACTTCAATGACTTTCTCATCTTTATTAATTTCAGCGCTGGATCTGTAAAATCTTTTGACAGGTGGAGAATTTTCCGATTGCTTCAGATTTGTTTCATCTATTTTGTCAAGCTGATCTGTTAATTTTTCCTGTTTTACTTCTGTGGTAATATTCTCCATTGGTTGCATTTCTTGTTTCATTATTTCTACTAAAGAGGATGAGAATGTCGTCAATTCCGATTCCGATTTAAGAGTTGTAGTTGGAAAAGTAGCTTGTTGCGTTGTGGGTGAAAACCTTAAAGTCATTCGTCTTCTATGCTTACGTTCTGAGCTTTCTAATGAACTATTCGAACTATTTCTCGCGGAAGTTGAATTAGTGTTTGTAAAGTTTAAGTCTGCATTCACTGTCACTAATTTAAATTCGTCTTCGATTGTTTCTTTTCTCTCAGTATTGTGTCTTGCATTTCTTGTATCAGTGGAATTATTATACTCTCTATTGCCACGGTACACGGGTGAGGTAGTGTTTGAATACTGTGTTCTATGATTATTTCTTTCATCTATAATAATGGGTTGTGGGGTTACTATTTGTAAACCGTCAACTATACTACTTTTATCTGCTTTGGTATCTTGATTTTCTAAAATAGTAATGGCTTCTTTTATACCATCTATATCTTCAGGGTTCATCGAGTTTCCTGAAATAAATAAGATTCGAAATAAAATAAACTGTTTTACGAAACGCTTATGCTATAGCTACATTTTAATTAGCATTATTAAAATGTAAGCTAATATTTATGTATTTTTATTTTTAAATAAATTTTCAAGTTTTTGCCACATTTATTAAATAGGTACGTAATATAGTTGTCAGTTAATGAGCAAAAATAGGAGCAACAAACTAATTATTAATTTGAAATAATGTTCGATTAATATTTAACTGTTGCATCAAATGTCTAAACAATGCTACACACCATCTTGCATTTCTTTCTTGTAAGACGAGAAGAAGGTGAGCGCCTTCATGAGTTGATAACTCTTGGAAACGGGAATGTTAGTATCATACAGGCGCGCAGTGTTCTTGCAGTCAACGTAGAACCACCAGTTGCACTTGAGGATCGTCTGGTCGAAAAGTGTGGATTCCGGACAGAGGAACGATTTCATAACGAGACCGTCGTCGGTCAATGCGCAAACGTGAAACACCTGAAAATTGGAATATGTATTTTTAGGTTTAACCATTCCACTTTTTTTATAAACATATGGAATACAAGATTTGATGACAAAAATGATTTGCTAACTAACTTTCATACATTAAAAGTCCACTGCCTAACATATACCTCCTCTTAGATTGTTTCCTAAGGCGAAATTTGCCGTAGTTGTCACGCTTGGCTGGCGGGCTTACAATCGTAGTTGGAAAACAATGTTTTTTTAACACTAAGATTTGTCGTGGAGACATTTTACATACATAAATTGCGCAAGGATAAACATCCAGACCCGGGGCAATTATTTGTAGGCCATACAAATACTTGACCTGTGCCGGATTCGAACTCGCTATCCCCAGCACCTTAACACAATACTAAACTACTGAACTACGGAGATGTCAAATGCTGTCCATCTTCTAATTTATTTCCCTCTGTTATCTCTTACAACACCTACGGGACGATATGGTGTAGATAGTGAATATTCTTACTCAACTACACGGTTAGCTAATAGCTTTATACTTAATATCAACAATAAACCAAATATATGCCCATTTTTCACTTTCACCGATAAAATTAAACAAGCCGCGGTCGTCGACTTTTGCGTGTTTCGTATAGACGTAAAAACGAGAATATTCACTACCTACATATCTTTACACCGCCACTGCACGTTGACCGGTGGTTGATCATTTAGCAACTTATGTAGATCTACATCCTCGATGAAGAGCTAAGCTATTTTTGCATCTAGGAAAACGTTAACCTTCATTATAGATTATGCTGTATCGTGCAAATACTATACACACATGGTGATATCACACTTCAATGTACTTTGCTTAAATGTAGCATTTATATGACCTTGAAAATAATTAGCTCACAAAGTCGATTTCAGTGAATATGTTTATTAATACACACACGCATAAAAGGACAAAATGTACCAGCATAATAGAAGTGTAATTAATATTTTATTTTTTAGTTTTCCGAAATAGTTGTTAGCAAATACTTACCATACAACCTAGACTCTCATCACCATACAACCCAGGGAAGTACTTTTGGTCTCCGCAATGAAAACTCGTCTCCGGTAGATCCACTTTCGATTGGAAGTGGTCGTCGAAATTCTTCTCGTATCCGACTGGGTAATATTCTCTCGGGGCGTTCATCACCTTTCCGCTAGTTGGGTTTCTGAACAAATTTGTAATAATTATATAATATCACATACCCAGAGATCATATATCGCCCCATCCCATCACGTGAATCATAAAATAAGTCCTATAATGACTAAAAATAGGCCCAAAAGTAGGACGATGGTAGCTGAAGGACTAATTTTCTAAGCAGATTTACATCTTACTTATGTCCTACTTATGTATATGGGACTGGTGAATACCAAAAAAAGACTAAAAACTACTAGCTAAAATAAGAGAAAGTAGTATTCAGGATCGGTCTTTTGGCAGTCGATTCTCTCTGCCTACCCCCGCAAAGGAAAACGTAAAGCTATAGTAATTACTACTACATAAGTCGGTAGTGGCGGTTAAAAATATCCACTACCCCATATCTTCCCGTGGGTGTCGTAAGAGGCGACAGTGGGAAACAGGCAGGAGAGGAGCAGCAGCATCTTCCTGATAACAGCACTATTACAATTAAAAAAACTGCGGTTGCCAACCCGCTCGCCAAGCGTGGCAACTATGGCAATATACCTCCCCCCCTCCATGACAAAAGTTAAAATAGACGGCCCCCAGTCCCCGGCGGCCCCGCTATTCCTGACTACGGTGGCGATGATGGTAATGGCGAGGCAGGGGGTGCTAATAAACTTCGGTGGAGGTTCGGTTACTACCTAAGACGCACGCACCCTGAGGAATGACAGGAAGATCCTGGAGCTGGAAGAAGAGATAGGCAAGTTGCACTGGAATATTATAGGATTACCCCAGGTTCAAAACGGGGGAGGACACGGTAATCCTCGAATCCGGCAACTTGTTCTATCACCGGGAGGGCGACCATATGTCCCAAGAAGGTGTCGGATTTATTGTCCACAAGCCTCTCGTTAACAACGTTGTAAAGATTAGGGGTGTGTCGAAGAGGGTTGCGTACCTTATATTCAGAATCACCAAACGGTATTCGTTGAAGGTCATACAGGTTTACGCACCAACCTTGGCACATCCCGTTGAGAAGGTGGAGGAAATGTATGAGGATATCACTAAAGCCATGCATTCCTCCAAAATCCACTATACGGTGTTAATGGGAAACTTCAATGCAAAACTAGGTACAAAAGAGAACGGTGAGCTGAATTTAAGGAAATTTGGAATAGGGCAACGGAACCCAAGGGGCCAGCAGCTGGCCGCCTTCGTGGAGAAAGAGGAACTCTTTATAATGAACTCTTCCAGAAGCGGCCCCACAGGAAGTGGACCTGGTCGAGCCCCGACGGGTCGCCAAAAAATAAGATTGCCTTCATTATCGTCATAATCCATAATTGACTTCATTATCGTCATAAACCAGACGACAACTGTTCAGTGACATCTCAGAGTTCGCGAAGGTGAAAACTGGTAGCGATCACTGAATGGTTAGAGGCAAACTGAACCTAAACGTTAAGTTTGAGAGGTCTCTCGTAATGAAGTCAACGTTACGTCCCCCTCGTGTCCCCATTCAAAGTCCCGAAACATTTCAGCTCAAATCAAAAAACCGTTTTCAGTGCCTAGAAGGCTGCAATGAAGTGGACGATATGAATGATAAGCTCGTGGAAACTGTCCATGTTGTCAGAGCTAAGATCTGCAAGACCCGCCGTAGAAGAATACTAAGCTCTCCGAACACACTGTTAATCTCATGGCTGTTAGACGGGAAATGAATCTGCAATCTTCAGCAGATTTAACAGCTTACAGGCAACTGGACAGATACAGCTGGTATTGAAGAAGTGATCGAGTGAAACCAAGGCTTCAAAGTCTTTGCCAGAAATCTGTCTGCCAGAAAGAGCCAACTGTCAAATCTGAAGGCCGAGTGTGATAGCATCGTTTTCGGGACACCTGAGATTTTGAGTGAGATCGAGAGGTTCTATGGGCAGCTGTACACGCCATTCTTAGAGCCACACGCAAGTGTGAGTAACGATCCAAGAGCGAGTTTCATACGACACTATCCCGATTATATCCCGGACGTCAGTCTGAGCGAGATTAGAATAGCTTTCCAGCACCTTAAAAATGGCAAGGACCCAGGCGAGGATGGAATTACAGCGAAGCTTCTGAAAGCGGATGGAAAACCAGTACTTAAAGTCCTTCAGAAGCTCTTTAATTTCATCCTCTATGGTGAGACAACTCAGGAGGCGTGAAGCAGAAGTGCGTTGGTCTTGTTCTTCAAGAAAGGTTGTTACCTTTCTCTTGAAGAACTACAGACCGATTTCCCTTCTGAGCCGCGGCTACGTGCTATTTTCGATAGTCATTACGAATCGTCTCGCCCGCAAACTTAACGACTTCCAGCCTCCCGAACAAGCCGGTTTCCGAAGAGGCTTTAGTACCATAGACCATATACATACCCTTCGGCAAATTGTACAGAAGACAAAAGAGTACAATCTGCCACTTTGCCTTGCGTATGTGGACTATGAGAAAACCTTTGATTCCGTCGATATTTGGGCGGGCTACAATCCCTTCAGCAGTACGAAGTTGACTGTCATCATATTGCAGTGCTGAAGTGTTTATACAGTAGGGCTACGATGGCTATCCGAGTACAGAATCAGAGTACAAAATATGTCCAACTGCAGAGAGGTATAAGAAAGTGTGACGTTATGTTCCCGAAACTCTTCACCGCTGCATGGGAATACGTTTTCAAGCTACTGGACTGGAAAAGATGCTAATACCGTATCTTTTCCAGTCCAGTAATAACATCAATGGCGAGTTCATCACTCACCTTCGATTCGTCGACGATATAGTACTTATGGCAGCATCGCTGAAGGACCTAAGCATTATGCTCAATGAACTCAATAGTGTCAAAAACGGATAGGTCTTAAGATGAACATGGACAAAACAAAGATTATGTTTAACGTCCATATTACACCTATGTCTAGGACAAATAGTCCGACTAGGTATGTCCAACCTCGACCGAGAGGTCAATCGACGAATTCAATTCGCCTGGGCAGCCTTCGGGAAATTACGACACATCTTCTCGTCAGACATACCTCAAAACCTTAAAACGAAATTGTACAACCAGTGCGTGTTGCCAGTGATGACTTACGGAACTGAGACGTGGTCCTTCACTGCTGGCCGTATGAGGCACTCAAGGGCGCTCTGGGTGCTATGGAGGGGGTTACGGGGGTTACGGTTGCTACGCTCGGTGTTTCTCTGCGTGATAAACTAAGAAATGAGGATATCTGCAGTAGAACTAGAGTGACCGACATAGCCCAACGGATTGGTAAATGGCAATTTGCCGGCCATATAGCTTGAAGAACCGACAACCAATGGGGAAAAAGGTTCTCGAGTGGCAGTCTCGTACCGGTAGGCGAAGTGTAGGGCGATCCCTCACTAGATGGAGTGACATGTAGGAAGTTGATGGATGCAGGTGGCTCAAAGCCATGCTTTGTGGCATTCTTTGGGGGAGGTCTATGTTCAGCAGTGGACTTGTGAAGGGCTGTTATTAAGCGGGTATAGTTTAAAATAACATTACAAAATTATAATGCAGCTAGTTTAGGTATTTTTATATAGAAGTGTAACGAAATTTTTCTATTCCAAGTGCATTTTATAAGTTGGTTCGGCTATTACACGTTAACTTTGAAGCCTACTTAGATGTGATAGATTTCCTTTTAACATAATTGTATAAAATACTATCGTGTATACTTTTACATTTCCAAAACAACGGCTCAGTTTGTAGATGGGGGGACACGTGACTACGATAAAAAAGGCTATTTTAAAGCTAAATATTTCGCAAAAATACGCTATAATGAAAAAATATTGTTCCGTATCCCTAATATTTTTGAAAGACCTATACAAAGACATACCATACGCTAGAATAGACGAGTAAAAAATCACCTGTGTGTGAGGTGCCCAAAATAGTCTCTGAGTAAAACCGCGGACGGACGGAAGGCCGAACATGGCGAAACTAAAAGGGTTCCTATAGGGTAGTTATACGACAAACTACGGAACCTTAAAAAAGACCTTTAGTGTAGTGTAGGTGGTATTTATTATATGGCATGTTAGTATGTGAGAGCCTGTGGTCTATCTCCGGTCGAGCCGACTCATTAGTGCAGCTACAGTGTAATTCTACTAGAATTTCTCGTTTGGCTGTCCCATACCAAACATTTAAAAGGTTTTTCTGCAGTATTACTTTCTTATTAATTTCTTTAAAATTTCAGTGACAAATGATCTTATCTAACATAACTAAACATCGGATGGTAAGTGGCTACTGCAGTCCATGGACAACTGCGTTGTCACCTCGGAGGACTAAGATGGAATTCCTCACAGTCTATTATCATACTGGCTCTCTTTAACCTTCAGATCTGAATACAGCAGTCGACGGCGGTCTATTTGGCAGCAGAAATAAGTAAGGAAGTGGTAGTGATCCAGACATAGTCCTAGTAGGAATAGAATCCTACTAACTAGTACTTAATAAAAAGACAAAACACTGTTTACCACAGGAAAACAAAAGTTACTTTAAGGAAACTTGTCACCTTGGCAAAGTAAAACAGTTACCAGCGAAATAAACATAAAGTATTCTTTTCGCGTAAAAACTGTTGTGGCAGTAACAGGCAGAAGCTAATTTGAAGGTACAGAGTAAAACAATAATTAATTTAGAAAACAAAACGTATTAAAGAAAAAAAATTGCATTTATTCAACGTACCTCTTTGGTTTCTGATGCACGGAGGCTACAACAATTTCCGGCTCCGGTTGCACTTGGAACAACAATGGCTCCTCTGTTGTTGTTGTAGTAGATGTCGACGTTGACGTTGTTGGGATAGGTAAATTGGCGTACTTATTCAACAACTGTTGTTGTCTCAGTACGATAGCCGCTTCCACGGCCTCCATTGAAATATTACCCGATTTCGCTATTTCGGCTATCTTCGCATTTATATCCTCTTTGTTGAACTTCAGCGTCGTATCGTCGCCGTAACCAGTTATGGAGTTATAGTCATCGACCTTCTTAGTGTTGTATCCTGGGTAGAGGCTCGCCAGGTCGTGGACTTGGTGGGGGACTGGGTCTACAAAGTTAGAAAGAGGATTGACGGTTTTGTGGACAGAGACTGTGTTAGTGTTAGATGGAGCATGCAAGTGTGCAGAGGTTTGAAAAGATGGTGCTTGTATGACTGAAATGGCCCGTGTAGGAGTTGCGGCGACAGGCATCGGAACGAATGGGTTAACTCTAGTGGGTGTGGTGTAAATACGAGGTGTGTTAATTATGATGGGAGTGGGAGTGATTCTGAGTAACGGCTGCCGGTATTGTATCGCAGTCATGTGTGAAATCATTTTCGATATGTTATCGTGTGATGAGTGTTGATGATGATTCTCACTTGTATAGGCAAGTCCTGGTCCCATCGACTGCGGTACTTCGAGCGGCGAGTGGGTTTTCTTCGTAGAAGCTATCGGTAGCACTTTTAGGGTGTCCTCTTTCGGAGGTAGAGGTCTAAACGGTGGCACTCCCATTGGCATTGGCTTGGCCAAGGTGATCGTAGGTTTAGCGTTCGTGATGGTGTTTCGTGTCGCCACGGTTTGAGCTTGCACGACTATAGGCTGCATGGTGCTGGAAACTCTTCGGTGTAAGCTGGACAGTTTTTCCATGGCAGCTTGGTTAGGACGGGCTGCCGATGACATTGGTCTCATCATAATTCTGTTTTGCTTTCCACGTTTCTGAAAATGGCCAAACATTACACTTAATGATTATTTAAACGAGTCTTATCTTTTTTTCAGCTTCCGTGAAATTTATGGTAAATTATTTAAAGTATAAACATTTCACTACGATTCACATTAAAAATAACTTTCAGTTGGGCAAGGTACTGTTACACAACTCTATCTTCTAGTTTTAACAAAGAAAGCTACAGTAATTCTTTTTTTTTATATAAAACGTTACCGTTACCGTTACACTAGGATTTTCTCCTGTGTCGTGGAGGCAGTTTACAAACATAAATTGCACAAGGACAAACATCCAGAGCCGGAACAATTATTTGTAGGCCATACAAATACTTGTTCCGTGCGGGATTCGAACCCGCGGCCCCCAGCGCAACAACTGATTGCTAAGCCACTGCGCCACGGAGCCGTCAAATTATACTGGTAATCTGTAAAGATCCTTTATTTTTTACGTGATAGAGCCACGCTACAGTTAAATTAGTATTATCACGACCTTGGGTTTCGAGACAATTAAAACTGCCGATTGAATTACCAATATTGACACTTTAACTACAGAACACTAATTACAACTTAAAACCACATTACTAATAAAACACAATTGTACTACTGGTCACTTTAGTTCGAAGTATTCGCTTGTATCGCCAATTCAATATCCTCTCGGTCGCGGTCTATACCGGCCTTATATAGGGCCGCAGGTAGTTTTCAGAACCTTCTACTGTAGAAACTTCTAGAATGTTCGAGTACATATCGGTCCCGATTTACTAGGTATCAATAGTTCTAGAAAGTTCTTCCATGGAAATTTCTAGAATGTTCTTGACTCTCCTAGTTCTGCAACTCGATACTAGAGGGCGCTAGTGGTAACTAGTGTCGCCATGTGCCATGTATTAATTAATTGTGGCTCACAGCAGTATATTGGTTGTATCAGGAATGGGTCGGCTCGACTGGGGAAGAAATACGTTCCACGAAATACAGCGTAGAAAAGCAGGATAATGCTGCTGTGTTTCGTATGGTGAGTGGAACTGGAGACTCTTTTCACTGGAAACGAGTCATTCCATCTTAGTTACATTTCGATTCTTAATCCTGGATAAATGTCTAAGAGCCATAGTATCTACTTACCCAGGTGAACTGAGTGCCGTTAGTCACCATTATTTTGTAAAAAAAAATTAAAACTGCAGGCGCGTCCCTAGTTTTTTTTTTGTAGATTTCATAACTTTTTAACTGACTTCAAAAAAAGGGGGAGGTTCCCACTTCGACTGAATGTTTTTATGTGTAACCTCAGAACTATTTTCTAGATGAACCGATTTTAATTATTCTTTTTTATGCTGGTGGTCCCATGTGTATTTGATTCAAGATCTGACCAGTACAATTTGAGTTATCTATACTAATATGAATATTAAAGCGGAAGTGTTTAAACTAGCTTATCTCTGGAACTACCTCTCCGATTTGAAAAATTCTTTTTGTATATTATAGCCAGATACATGAGAAATAGTATAAGCTGTCTGATATTAGGCTACACTTCTCATCTAGCCTTAAATATTGATTATTATTAAGCAAGTCAGAAGAAAAAGCGCTCCCGAAATGATGTATCCGCATGCGCTGACGTAATGGTTAGTGATACGTGAATAAAATCAAGATCTTCATCTAAAGATAATTGCACAATATCATATGCCTATTTCTTATAGATAAGCCAGCCAATAAGGTGAAAAAAAATTATTGAAAATTAAAAATGATTGTGATTGTGATTTATGAGTGATTTATGAGCGTATTATTATTAGGAAAGTCACCTCATCATCAAGACAATTTTATGAAGATAATCTTTACTTTTTATGGCATGTTATTTAAGAGATAACGAAAAATTTTAATAATTCAACACTCGAATCGGCGCGTAAACGACGCATAAACGCTAGCCGCCCGATGAGAACCGAGAGAAACGAGCAGTGAACGCTGCTCGTTTCTCTCTTCTGTGGACAATCTTAGTTCAATCATTTAAGGTTAAAAAATTCGCAAAATTAATGGAGTAATTTTATCTATCGGTATATGTAAGTTATAGAGCAAAGTTACATTTTATCCACTGACTTCCCCTTCCCGGGTGAGCGTCCCAAAACTCTCCCGAATCGCGGTTTTTTTTTCAGTTTTAAAGAAAACAGTAGGTACACGATACATTAAAAGTGTATAGGTACAAAATAATTCTAAATATATAATGGGGGAGGGGGGGGGCGTGACGGGTAATCATGTCGAATATAGTAAAAATGTTAAAATTTTATAAAACACAATAGAAAGGACACGCAGATTTGGACCTCACGATATTTAATATCCACTAAACCACCATTACAGCCTTTCATAGTCCTCTGCTGAACATAGGCAGCCATATTTTATACGTGGTAGAGCCATGCTGCATCTATATTATGGTTGTAGCACGAATGGGTCGGCTCGACCGGGGAAGGACCACGCTCTCACAGAATACCAGCGTAAAATAGCAGCTTAACGCTGCTGTGTTTCGTATGGTGAGTGTAGAGAACCGGAGACCCTTTTTACTGGAAACGAGGCATTCCATCTTAGTCCTCACGGGTGACAACGCATCTGCATTTTGACTCTTAATCGAAGATAGATGTAGATGTCTATGAGCCACAGCGACCACTTACCATCAGGTGGACTGTGTGCTCGTTTGTCACCCTTACCCTATAAAAAAAGGCCTCGGTGGATACTTGCCATATTTGTCACGCTTTGCGAGCGGGTTTGCAACCGCAGTTGTTTATATTTTTGAATAAAAACTTCTTTAGCCGCGTTGAGCGGTTTTTGGTAGGGGACAAACTTGTGGATTCGCGTCACCGATGACCTCGACATTGTCGAGCATGTCACATTGAGTTTTCACTTCTGTGTTTTCGCCTCTGTTTTTTTTAGTTACTGTTAAGAATACGCTGCTGCCCATCTCCTGATTCAGTTTCGATGATGAAATGGGGTTATGGATATTCTTACGCCACTACACAGTTAATTATCTATGAAAAGTACAAGGTAGGCGTATACATTTTTAAATTAGACAATCCTTACCTATAATAATGATGTAATTATACAGTAATTGTATATTGTATGTGTTTGTGTGTGTGTGTGCGTTTATTATAATATAATTATACTGGTATACTGTATTAATATAATTACTGTGACTTTTTAACCTGCACTAATGCCGTTCCTGAATTCGATTCTTACTCGTGTGAACGAACATTTGTACAAAAACTCAAGTTGATTGTGTTGTGATTATCTTCGTATCTGTTACACTGCATCCTGGGTTACCTATAAGTTTATCGCTGCGTCATTAAGCACGGGCAGGTTAACGCCGTTGTTTGGCGTGTATGTTTGTGGCACTATAATATTATATTCTAAGCAATGGTTCATCATTACCATCATTATAGTAATAGTAATAAGCCTTTTATTTCCATAACCAAACAATAGTAAAAAGAAAAACATTTATCTATAAGCTAAACTATTTTCATAGAATTAAGCGTTAAAAAATATTTTAAATTATATTTATAATTACATGCATTTTCTTAGTTTATTTTGGTTTGGATCCCTCTATGGTTAATGCCTTCTGTATCTTTTTCCGTCTTTCTCTGACCTTCGCCTTAACTATCCGATTCCTTTCTATTTTCACGATGTCGCTGGTCGAAATGATGACTATTTTGGTCCATCTTTCTTCATGGATCCTCGTAATATGTCCAATCCATCTCCATTTCAGCCTCAGTGCTGCTGTATGGCGTCTGTTAGGTTTGTTCTGCTGCGAACGTTGACATTTCTTATCCTGTCAGACTGTCTTATTTTTAATATACTTATCCCTATGCCACGATGACATAGCTTTTCTTGTACTTTTCTAGTAAAGTTCCAAGTTTGACCATGCCATGTGTCAGGCATAGGAGGATACAAGAGTTCAAGATTACCTTTTTAAGTTTCATGCCTACATCACCTTTTAATAAGTCTTTCATGCTCGCGTATTTCTTCCAGCTTATATTTATGCGTCTCTCTATTTCGTCTAGGTTGCTCGTTGGTTTGAATAATATTAATTTTCCAAGATTTACATACGTAAAATTCCAATTTAGTGCAATGTACATATATGTCTTTCCTTATATTGTTTGTCATGACTTTCGTTTTTGTTAAATTCTTATCTGGTCTTACCTGTTGACTTGCTGTTAGTAATGAACTTAGCATTAATTAAAGAACATCTGGGTTTTCTCCAAAGAGCATGATGTCGTCTGCGAAGCATAATTGAGTCAGCTTCCTTTCATTAATTCTTATTCCTTTCTTTTTCCAGCGCAGGTCTCTTAACTTATGAACAGAGTCGGTGATAGGGGCTCTCCCTGTTTGACTCCCCTCTCTATTTTTATTCCTTCGCCAGCTTGTTATAATCTGACTCTTTCCTTTTTCTTGTTTTATAAAATAATTTTTAGTATCTCTTTAAACTTCCATTGGACTCCTGCTTTAAAAAAGGCTTTCCAGATAGCCGAGTGCTTAATAGAGTCGAAAGTTTTTGTATAATCTATAAAATCATCATTATAATCATCAAATCATACAAATCCACTGCTGAACATGAACATAGGCCTCCCCCCAAAGAATGCTAACGACACGGTTCTGATCCAGCCGCATCCATCGACTTCATCTACAAGGGGCCGCCCTACATATCACTTAACACTATTAAACTATTAGGGTACCCTTTCCCTATTAGGGTGTCGTTTTTTCGAGCTATATGGCCAGTTCTTTGCGACTTCACTTTCACGATGAGTAACAAATAAAATACACAATCTTTTTCGTCGTTATGCATCGTTATCGTTATATATAAATAAAGTCATCACCATCAGTTTTATATAGATTTGCAATCAAATTTTTAAAAAATTCGAAATTATATTTCAATTTAGAAAAAAAGTAATTTCATTACAACACTCATTACAGTCGTTCAAAAGTCGAATTTATACTGTATAGATTGCCTTACGGGAGATCATATAACAGATAAAGAGATAGAATGAAAGAGTGATAGCACCATTGTCATAGACACGCATGGCAGGCGGGTTAGCTACTAAACGCAGTTTTTTTTTTATTTTTGTTATTGTCAGTATTATCAGAAAACATTTTCTGCTCATCATTTGTTTTATTTCAATCTACTGCCTTGTACCCAAAGGATTAAATGGGGGTAGTGGATTCTCTTACCAGCACTACAGAGTGAAGTGGAATACATAACGAGGTGAATTACGTAAATTTAAGTCTCTTACGAAACAAAAGAATCGCAAAAAACATTACCTCTTGTTTGGCAGCCGGCCTATTAGATGTGTCAACGATAATATTTGGCGCTCCATTCTTGACGCTGACCGATCTTCTTCTGCTCGGGTCAAGGTTCGTGAGTGACTGCTCGAAGCCCAACTCATCTCCAAGACTGAATCCTGGAATTGAGAAAATGCAATCAATTTATTTGCAGTGCATATCAAATATGAAGCACGTGTTTTTATTTTTAAGTTTGTTTTAGATTTTTTATAGGATAGGGTGACAAACAAGCACATAGTCCACCTGATGGTAAGTGGTTGCTGCGGCCCATAGACATCTACATTTATCCTCGTTTGCGAATCAAAATGCAGATAAGTTGTCACCCGTGAGGACTAAAATGAAATGCCTCTTTTCCAGTAAAAAGGGTCTCCGGTTCTCTACACTCACCATACGAAACACAGCAGCGTTGAGCTGCTATTTTACGCTGGTATTCTGTGAGAGCGTGGTCCTTCCCCGGTCGAGCCGACCCATTCGTGCTACAACTATACTACTAATATAGCTGCAGCATGGCTCTACCACGTAAAAAAGATTTATTGGATATGAGATCTGTGATGTATGTTTTTTTTGTTTTTTTTTTTATGTGTTACCACATAACTTTTTATGTAACTATTGTAGGTAAACCGATTTCGATGATTCTTTTTTTTGCCGACTTCCAAAAAGGAGATGGTACTCGATTCGACTGTATATTTTTTTTATGTGTGTTATGTCATAACTTTTTACTGGGTGAACCGATTTCGATGATTCTTTTTTTATTTGAAAGCTGATACTTGTCGTGTGGTCCCATATTCATTTTATCAAGGTCAGACTAGACAGTTATTGAGTTATTTTTAATAACTTATATTGAAGTCGGCTGTACAAAATTTTTAATTTTAAATTATGTAATATCACGCCGATACTTCAACAATCTTTATACATAATGTTAATAAATACATCATAAAATTTATGTATAAAAATTGTTATTACACATAATGTTATAAATATAAAATTTAACAATATACTTATCATTTAATTTGGCCTAATAATGCACCTCATTATTATGGCAAATCCCATCGATCACTAATAAAAAACTAGATACACAATCAGTGACTAAAATGTCCTTACTGAATGAGCGCCCACTCGAACATTTGGGTGCGAATTTAATTTGTACGTAGCTTTGTAAATACAACTTTAGACAATGCATTTAAGGTTGAATTAACATTAATGTATATTTATTGAGCTCAGGGGTATCTTAATGACATGCAAAATAAAACATAAATTACCATTTTTTTAATTTTTTTACTGTCTGTCTTTCTGTCCGCGCTTATCTTCGTAATGGCTGAACCGATTGTAATGTAAATTCATGAATATATAGAGAGAAATGCCAGGAGTCATGCAGGTACTTTATCAGAAAAGCTTGGAGATTTTTTGCTGTCATCAAAAAAATTACGTTGATGAAAAATTATCTTGAAAAATGTAAACGATGACATAAATGACATTGATAGATACTACCCAAGCAAATCCGGGGCGAGTCGCTAGTTAATAATAATAAAGATAAAATAAATAAGTTAATAATAAGCATATGACAATCTCTATTTATCAAAGCTTACATAACACAAACGTCAAATATTATAGGGAATGTGATTGCGACATAAACAATCACGTTTTGCACTTGGTAGAGCCATGCTGCAGCTGTATTAGTGCTACGTTAGTACCACGCTCTCACAGAATACCAGCGTAAAATAGTAGTTTAACACTGCCGTGTTTCGTATGGTGAGTGTATGGTCGTATGGTTTGCATAGAATAAGGGTGACAAACGAGCACACAGTCTACCTGATGGTAAATTGATGCTTCTCTCCATAGACATCTACATCTATCCTCGATTAAGAAAATATAGGAACATGACAGCCTCGTCTCCAGTAAAAAGGGTCTCTGGTTCTCTACACTCAACATACAAGACACAGCAGCACTGCGCTGCTATTTTGATTGGTCTGGTATTCTGTGAGAGCGTGTTCCTTTTCCGGTCAACTCTGCCGATCCATTCGTGCTAGCTCTACCACGTCAAAAAAGTGTAAAAGGCGTTAGATTTTCTATCAATATTTTTTTTATAAGATAAGGGTGACAAACGAGCACACAGTCCACCTGATGGTAAGTGGTTGCTGCGGCCCATAGACATCTACATCTATCCTCTGTTACAAATCAAAATGTAGATGCGTTGTCACCCGTGAGGACTAAGATGGAATGCCTCATTTCCAGTAAAAAGGGTCTCCAGCCACCTGCACTCACTAAGCGAAACGCAGAGGTAAACCTCTACTTCACGCTGGTTTTCTGTGAGGTCGTGGTACTACCCCGGTTCGAGCCGGCCCATCCGTGCGACAGCAAAAGCTGCCGCGTGACTCTACCACTGCTAAAATTTCTATCAACTACTATCGCTGCATGTCTAACAATAAGTCCAGTTGAAAACAGTAATATTTTTCCACAGTGCTTATGCAATAAAAATGATGCTGCTGACTATAACCCGTTTTACGTGTTTGCATCTCGTAAGTTTAATTTGGGGAAAAGCCCTACCAAGGCCAAATTTATATTTTGAAACAGTATCTATAAAAACCATAAACATTTTCGAATTGTTATTCTTTTGTAAAACAACCACTAAGTAGCCCAATTTATTGTTGTAAGTATGTTCAAATCATTTTTCTACTGACTTCAAAAAAGGATACGGTACTCAAACTCGACTGTATGTTATTTTTTATGTGTGTTACCTCACAAATTTTATCTGAGTGAACCGATTTCGATTATTCTTTTTTTTTATTTGAAAGCTGGTGCTTCTCATGTGGTCCCATATATAATTTGATTTGATCAAGGTCTTACTAATAGTTTTTGAGTTATTCTTATTAATATATATTAAAGTCGGTTGTACAAAATTTTTAATATTTAATTATTATTTATTAACTTTTCAACAAGTAACAAATGACAGCATATGATAAAGTAAAAACATTGACCATATCACCTCACTATAACATTACATCTTTGAGTAAATAACTACTATAAATCTAGCTAATCTACTACTAATATTATTTAATCTGTGCTAATACTAAACTGCCGTGTAGTGGCGGTCAAGAATATCCACTACCCCATATCCTCCCGTGGGTGTCGTAAAAGGCGACAAAGGGAAACAGGCAGGAGATGGGCAGCAGCATGTTCCTGATAATAGCCAAAATTACAATAAAAAAACTGCGGTTGCCAACCCGCTCACCAAGCGTGACAACTATGGCAAATACCCCCCAATGACTAAAGCAACAAACAGACGGCCCCCAGTCCCCGGCGGCCCCGCTATTCCTGGCTACGGTGGCGATCATGGTAACGGCGGGGCAGGGTTTGCTAAGAATCTCCGGTGGAGGTTCGGTTGCCACCTTAGACGACTCGACCTGGCAACGTACAACGCACGCACCCTGAGGACTGACGAGAAGATCGTGCAACTGGAAGAAGAGATAGACAAGTTGCGCTGGCATATTATAGGATTATCCGAAGTCCGAAGATAGGGGGAGGACACGGTAATCCTCGAATCCGGCAACTTGCTCTATCACCGGGAGTGCGACCATCTGTCCCAAGGAGGTGTCGGATTTATCGTCCACAAGTCTCTCGTTAACAACGTTGTAAAGATCGGGAGTGTGTCGACGAGGGTTGCGTACCTTATACTCAGAATCACCAAACGGTATTCGCTGAAGGTCATACAGGTTTACGCACCAACCTCGGCACACCCCGATGAGGAGGTGGAGGAAATGTATGAGGATATCTCTAGAGCCATGCATTCCTCCAAAACCCCATATATTGTGTTAATGGGAGACTTCAATGCAAAACTAGGCACAAGAGAGAACGGTGAGCTGAAAGTAGGGAAATTTGGAATAGGGCAACGGAATCCAAGGGGCCAGCAGCAGGCCGACTTCATGGAGAAAGAGGGACTCTTTATGATGAATTCCTTCTTCCAGAAGCGGCCCCACAGGAAGTGGACCTGGTCGAGCCCCGACGGTTCGACAAAAAATGAGATTGACTTCATTATGACGACCAGACGACAACTGTTCAAAGATGTCTCCGTGATCGCGAGGGTGAAAACTGGTAGCGATCACCGAATGGTTAGAGGCACACTGAACCTAAACGTTAAGTTGGAGAGGTCTCGTCTAATGAAGTCAACGCCCCGTCCCCCTCGTGCTCTGTTCCAAAGTCCTGAAACCTTTCAGCTCGAGTTACAAAACCGTTTTCAGTGCCTAGAAGACTGCAATGAAGTGGACGATATGAATGACAAGCTCGTGGAAACTGTCCATGCGGTCGGAGCTAAGTTCTGCAAGACCCGCCGCAGAAGAACACAAAAACTCTCCGATCACACTCTTAATCTCATGACTGTTAGACGGGAGATGAAGCTACATTCTTCAACAGACTTGACAACATACAGGCATCTGAACAGACAGATCTCCAAATGCATGCGGCGGGACTTACGCAACTTCAATACAGCTCGTATTGAAGAAGCGATCGAGCGGAACCAAGGCTCCAAAGTCTTTGCCAGAGATCTGTCTGCCAGAAAGAGCCAACTGTCAACGCTGAAGACGGAATGTGGCAGTATCGTTTCCGGGACACCTAAGATTTTGAGTGAGATTGAGAGGTTCTATGGGCAGCTGTACACGTCATCGTTGGAGTCGCACGCAAATGTGAGTAACGATCCAAGAGCGAGTCTCATCTGACGCTATTCCGAAGTTAACCGGACGTCAGTCTGAGAGAAATTAGAATGGCTCTCCAGCACTTTAAAAACGGTAAGGCCCCAGGCGAGGATGGAATTACAGCGGAGCTCCTGAAAACGGGTGGAAGACCGGTACTTGAAGTCCTTCAGAAGCTCTTTAATTCCGTCCTCCATGGTGGCACTACACCGGAGGCGTGGAGCAGAAGTGCGGTGGTCTTGTTCTTCAAGAAAGGTGACAACGCTCTCTTGAAGAACTACAGACCGATTTCCCTTCTGAGCCGCGTCTACGTGCTGTTTTCGAGAGTCATTACGAATCGTCTCGCGCGCAGACTTGACGACTTCCAGCCTCCCGAACAAGCCGGTTTCCGAAAAGGCTTTAGCACCATAGACCACATACATACCCTTCGGCAAGTT